AAAGGTGTGTTGAATCCAGTAAAAGAAAAGATAAACTATAAAAATAATTATGAAAAACTTTTTTTTGGTAACAGTTACTAAGATTGAATTTGTCAATCCTTACGTATAGTAATTACATTAGATTAATGTTCACCCCCTTGCTGTGTCTCCGTTGAATTACTCTGTACTAAAGCTTAAACTCAGTAACAGCAGACCCACAGAAAATGACTGATGGTAAGAGAAGGGTTGGGGAGGCAGTGATAAATGGGAAAGACAGATTTCGGCTCACTGTTAAGGAGAAGCTCTGTAAAGAAGACACTGAGCTCCTGCATGGTGCTTGTCCTTCAGACATATTACCCTCTACGGGAATTTTCGCACATCATTTTCAACAACAGATCACATCACGCGCCTGGTTAATGTGGCTCCAGCTTTAGAGCTTCCCCATGCTGTTTTGTCACAGCTGCAAACTTTACTGCCACTGCCTCCTTCATATTACAGAGACTTCGATTGTGATTATCTCTTCTACAAATTGCATTCATGCAATGTTTTAAAAGCATTCCGCAAATAATATTTACAATTATTGGAATGCTAGATAGATATTCACATTTCATTACCTCCAGGGTTTTTCAGTACATATCTGAGAAGAAAAAAAGGACATAAAAAACACAAGAATATGAGCAGAACAGAAGAGGCATGGAGAGGGCAGCAACTGAGAGAGATAGAGTATGATACTCTCTCCTGAAGTAAAAGCCCTCTTCTATAAGACACTATGATGAGGGTAGAAATATGGGCTAAAGTAGAAAAAAATCTGCACAGGCCTCAAAACTAATATGCCATAGCAGTAGTAATGTTAGACAAACTTCTCAATGAATTTAAGCATCTTTTTTTTTGCCTCAGTTGCATGCAGCTTCTCAGCTCCCTACCCATTTTCTGGCCCAGAATATGACCAGGTTAGAAGGGAACATTGTTGATAGCCAAGGTGCAGCAATCATTTGGAGAAGAGAATGTTTTTAACAGGTGGACAAAAAAATTTGTGTTTTGCAGTAAATCATTACATTGCAATACAATGAACTATGATCAATTTAAAGCCTAAAGGACCTTTATTTAGTTATAGTGGAATCGGTTACCATATAGCAGAATTAAACATTGCAATCTAAGCATTTTTAATAAAGAAACTCTAAAATTGGTTCATTTTATCTCATTTATCTCTACCATGGCCCCACCTTTACAATTAATGAAAAATATTTCAAACTATGGGGGATAAGGTTGAATGTTTGGATGGTTTAAATCTTTTAGAAAAGCTCATCTCATTCCTATTTTCCTGTTTTAACAACTAACAGCAGGATGGTAATTTGCCAGTGTCTGTTTTTAGTTATTGTTTGTTCTTTAGTGTGTTGGCCAGGAAGTCACCTGACATACAACAGAAAAGCCATAATGGCCATTATATCCTATTAAAGGTCATAAAGGAATAAGAGGGGGCAAATGGCGAGATGGGTGTACAATCTAGCTAAATTGCCTGTCCACCACATGGCCATCAAGCCACTGATGGACACACCTCTAGTAACTTTCCATCCCATAATATTAAGTAGGATTGACACTGAGAACTGAGAACATTATAATGAGAACATGAAAACTTTACACTGCAGAGAAGCTGCTGCAAAGGTCTAAACCTACATGCAACAGTCATTCTGCTGCTAATAAGAACTTGCAACTATCCAGATATTTATAATATATGCTGTCCTGATGAGGAGGTCGTACACTTGGAATAAAACTTTGAAGTAATGCTCATTTGAAAAACCAATGCTTTGTGTGGTGTAAAACAAAGAGTCTGTAGGATGTTTTTGCAAAATATTCATGTTTTGTTCATTTCATATTTTTTTCAGATCGGTAAAAGCAAACAAGCCATTTCAGTTTTAGTTCATGTGAGAACCAAAATGTCTCTGGGTTGAACCCAAAAACACCTGCCTCTGCTGTGACTGTAACACAAACAGCCAGCAGCAGATGATGGGAGGAATAATGGAAACAGTCCATCATCCGCTTGCCATTAGCCACTTGTTAATCCCCATGTATCTATTTAAGTTCTGTGTTCATGCCCATGTGTTTGTCTCTATTCCTGCAGCTGCTGAAATAGCTCACATAGTGGATGTGTAATATGGAGCTGAGGTTAAGTATAGTTGGCCTCCATTACTTCCTTTGCTTCTGCTGAAAGGCTGTGTTGTTCCAGGCGTTTTCTACAAAACTGACTTATTTTTTCATACATGGGCCATTGTGTGCTCAGGCTAAGGAAGATGAAGGTACATTAATGTCTGTTTGTTTGTATATAGTCTAAATGCAATATTTTCCTCTAGTTGGAGATAACAACGTTGCCAAGGTTAGTTAATTTCATATGCGTTTTCTGCTTTTGTTCATGTAAAGACATTCTGTCAAGATTATATATGTGTGTGCATGTGTGTGTGTGTGTTTGTGTGTATATGTTTGTTGGTGTGTATTGGTTTGTTTTTGTGAGTGAGGGATTAAAAAATAATATTTCAGAACTATGATTGCCTCTCAATTAATACTTTTTCAAACAGATATCACTCAATTAAAAGTGTAACTGTACTTACCTATGATATTTACCATTCCATATGCAAAGTATTTTCAGTTACCTTTTTTTCCCCTGCTTAAAGGAATAGTACACCCAAAACAGCCTTCATTTTCTACTCACCCCCA